GGTACCACGGTGCATCGCTGACGGCGCTGGTGGCGGACCGGAGCCAGCGGGCGTCGTGACCTCCCTGGCTGTGATAAGCGACTGATGTTGTTACGAGTAAGTCGTAGAGTAAGCGTTGTTATTGTACTTATGTCTCTGACATGACTTCGTAAATGGATCCTAAAGAATAAACATTAACAAACAACTAAAGAATCCATTGTACAAATAATGTGACTAAATTTCCTATCAAAATGACGCGAAAATACACAATATGCTCTTTGAATATTAAATTCACTGTGTGATATTTTGAAAGGGCATTTAGTCATATTACAAAACTGACTCCTAGTCGTAGAAATTATTAGTGAATATCCACTGTTGGACTACTAGTTCCTAATGTTAGTCAAAGCTACACAACTCCACTATTCCAGCCACTGAAAACGGGTTGCATATTATAGTTTATTTATATTGTACATAGAGCAAATGCCACTATGAAAATTATATGTTTGAATCCATAGTGCCATATTATTAAGGTATTTCCACATAATTTAGGACTGCATTTAATGATAAATCTTTGAATTGATGAAGGAAACTGGCTGCAGTCAAAATGTAGACCAGCCAGACAATGTCGGGAACAAAGTGTAGTTAAGCAACTTGTTGCATTCTTTGTGTGAGTGATTCACTCTTTAGAGATAATCCCAAATATTTCTCTATGATTTAAATATTTTAAACCATTTAAAAAATACAATAACAAAATCTTTTCAATAATTTCTTATGTTTAAAAGTAAAAGTAAATTTTCTTCCCTTTGTTGAAATAAATTAATATTTATTGGCATTTTATACAATGAAAATACTAAGTCTTATAATGGACTGTCAAAGTCCACTTATTAACAGTATTTTACAATTTTCTCTGCTTTCAATCACAATTATAAATTATGATCATAATTTTATGAAATTTTATATAATTTTAAAAAGCTTTTTATATAAATTTAATATACAAATGCATTTTGCTTACAGTTGTGGGTCTTTTTGGGGTTATCTATGAAAAAATGGTTATAAAATGTCTATTCTTGTGAATAGTGAAGTACAGTACAGTTTCCAGTGAGTTAGGCTAGATAAATATATTTAGTGTATTTGAGGAGAGGTGCAATGAGAGAGGCTGGAAATGCGTCCCGTGTCTTTTAATATTTATATTATTTATTTGTAAGCTATTTTAACTTGTACATAGTAAGGAGCCGGAGAGAGGACAGAGCTGTAAATAGAAAAATGTTTAAGATATATATTGTAACACTTTATGTACATAGTATTTTTGTAATATGTTAAAAATGACAAAAAAAAATAAAATATATATACAAAGTATGGTTGCAATAATGGCTTGGCAGTGCAAAATCAGCAAAAAGTTGTAATGTCAGGTTGACTGAAGGAAAATGCATAGACTTTAATTATTATTGAAATTTTACAACATTGCAATAAGGTTTGTTGTTTGAAGATATTAAGCAATAACTAATTCTAAATTTAATGATTGTTAAATAATTATGTGCGACTTGATGGCTTGTATCGCTTCAGTCGAACACATTTTAAGAGGTTTGTGCCACGGCTCGAGTGTTATTAAATTATAAAAATGATGAAAATTACCCATGCAATGAAAATGGTGCTTTTTGTCCAAGTTATAGTCATGCTAGATTTGCAATAATTAAAATATATATAAATGGTGCTAAAATATGTTATTTATGACTGTGTTAAAACATATGTGCCATGTTGTTGCTGTTTATATTATAATTGCAATAGTAACATAAAATATAGAAGCATGTCATAAGAAACTATATGCGGTTGTGTTTGTAGGGAGAATACTGGTTAAGCAAACATTCTATGATTTCATCATATCTTTGCCCCGCCAAAACTTCAGTAAAATATGAGACTGTGACATGTTTGTGAATTTTTTGGCAATGGGACTTACAATAATTGGTTAAAAAAGACTGTAGTTACCTACCGTTCTGTCCAGGAACCTGGAATTTGCTTTAAGAATTATAATGGACTACATCTTATATATCTTATATACATCTTATATACTTGCCTCTATGATTTTCAGATTGATTTTCACTGTCAGATGCTTGGTGGCATTTTTTTATCTCCCTATCGCATATTTTTCCCATTTAAACGAGTTTTTTCACCTCTTGTACATCAGAGTTGTTTAAATACATTGCACTTGACACAAGCAATAATAAATATGTTGTGATAAGTTTTTAAAAATTTTACAAAAGAGGCACTGCCCCATGCTGAAAATAAAAAGTACAATAAATATAAATAATCTCTAAGAACACTGTTTAGACTAATGCATCCTAAAAACTGTTTACCAAAAAAAGTCAAGTCAATAAAAATAAAACTAAAAAAAAAACAAAAAAAAGTACAAAATTTTTAAAAAACTCAAAAAAAATATATATATAAAAGTTCAAAATCACTTTGATTTTTATCAGAGTTTATACACAAATGTTTATAACTGTTAAAGGAGTGTATACACTCTCTCTTGTTCCTATTGGTATAACAATGCATCTCTGATAAAATATCAAAGGAACCTTTGTGATAAGATGTGGCAACACTAAAGCATGTCACAATGCTACAACAAACCTCTTGAAGCTTGTTTAAAAATGTGTTGCCGCTTGCATACACATTTGTTGACATCAAGAGACATTTCCAATTTGTGTCCGGAACATGAATTTTTCACAAAATACTCTTTATGTATTTAATCTAGGCATTTTGATCTTTTTAATCTGCACACCGAAAAAGAAAAGTTGTCTTACTAATATATCCTTCCTGATATTTCTTGTACTGAATTTTTAATTTTCAACTGCTTTTTATTTACTAATTTCTACAAATCTAATGAGAACTAACATGATATATTTTTGTATATTTGTTTGTTTCTTTTTCCACTCTTATTTAATTTATGTGTAATCCGTTGCAGTTGTAAGAGATTTTAAAAATATAGATTCAGATGAATTATGCTGGAACAGATTTCAAAGATCAAAATGTCGACGTTTTCGCGCGCTTTTACAAATACAATGTCACTGCCAATGTTGATCTGGTTCACACGGTTATGCAGTTTGTTAATAGTACAATTCTAAAATTTAAATAGTTTTTTCCAAATTATTCATAACTCGTAACTTAATAAATTACTGTTTACTAACAGAATTTAATAAATGTTAACATGCAAGTTCAACAAATGAAACAAAAAAATGTACTAGTTAATTGTCTTTATTTTTTCAAATATGTACTATTAAGTAATCATTCATGTACAACATATATACAGAATTATGTCAGTTTTATAATCATGTCTATAATGTAAGTGAAAATATAATTATTTAATGATAATATACCAAGTATAGTATAAATAAACAATTGCAAAAATACTGCTTTTCTCTGATGGTCTGAAATTGTCTTGACCTTGGGCCAAGAAAAGTGGCATTGCAATCTATGTGAAAATATTATCATTATTTAATTATATTTTTAACATTGAACTTCATTGTATTTTATTTTATCAAACAATAGGATAATCTGAACCATTATTGTACAAAAAATTATTGTATTGGAACCATCATAATAAATCTACAAACTGCCAAAAAGTATTTTATTTCCTATCCAAATTTTACTGAAACAATCACCGCGTTCCTTTTTCCTAACTATAGTTACCTCGTCGGAAATTAAAAAAGAATTTTTTCGCCGTTTGGGTAACTAGTTGGAAAATAAGAATATTTATTCAGTTTTTTTGCTGGGATGGAAAGGGTACACATCATTCCCATGTTAAAATCAAACTTCACGATTAAATAGCAATTGAATATGGATCCTATTGACATTTTATAATTAGCCGCGGTTTTTTGTTTGAAGGTAAAAGGTAGCAAACGACCAACAGATGGCTCGGAAGTAAAAAGTGTAATCACCGTACTGGTTATGAAAGTGGAAAAAAATATTCCTGTTTTACAACTAGTTTACCAAAATGTGAAGAAATTTTTTTTTTCTAACTGGTAAGGTAGGTGGCTTTGGTTAGGTAAATGGACGAGGGAAAAAGTCTAGATTCCTCCATATAGGAAAAGATTTGTAAATTGAAGAGGAATGGCATACTACAGAAAGCTCTCGTTACAGTTACACCGAAAGTGTTGAATGGTCTTTGAACCGAATAATGACGTATGGCTACAAGAAAAGGGTTTATTTTAAAAAACGTTACATTTCTAAGAGATGATATTCCCATCTGTGTATTCGTAGTCACCCTCACCTTAGACGCTATAAATCTTTTTTAACTTCAGATCTGATATTCCTCTAATATTCAGAGCCATAGTATAGTCTGAAATTACAAAATGAAAATATGGTGATTGGCTTTTTTTAAAGTAAAAACTGATGTAACACTAGTTACAGATAAGGGCGTGAAATGTGTTGTGTTTTTGGATTTTCAATGAGTTGTCACTTGTCAATTTTGTCTATTCTCTGTCAGATTGACATTTTATTTGATGTTTCTTGAACTGATTTAAATTATTTGACCATTTGTTAAAAAATATAGTTTTAATCATAATGCTAACTTTGTGGAATTTATTTGAGGCTTCTTTACTTTGCCTCAATGCAGTTTGTGTCCTTCATGAAGAAAGGTTTATGCAAAAGAGTAAGTTACCCGATAAGGTTACAAAATTTTACACGACATTACATACGATAATATTTATTATTACCAATAATGTCCTAGTTGAACATGATAGATCTCAGTTCATACTGTTTAATTGCTTACCGTCTTAAATATACCATTAATTTGTTGCAGTGGGCTGGGGTGCAAATGTTTCTGAACAAGGCTTCGTGGACCAGTCTTCTATGAAATTCCAAATTTTAAACCTTGTGCGATCTATAAGAACAGTAACAAGGAGTAAGTATTTTTAATTGGTATTTTAAGATTGAAGAATTAACCGTATGAAGTCCATGAAACTATTTTAGGGTTTATGTTCTAGCATTACCTTCCTCAGCAATATAATAGTTTCAGAGGTTTGTATAAGAATAAACAATTTTATGAATGCGAAAGTTTAGATGGATGGGTGCTTAAGGATATCTCCTGAGTAGATCAATTCCATGGATCTCTATGAGAGTAGGCTCAGATGTAGAATAAAGTTTCAGGCATAAATATATAGTTTGAAATATAATGCATTATAAAAGTTTGTCAATGTATATTTTTGTTTTGTTTCAGTACCACTGATCATTTTAAATATACTTACCATATTATTTAAATTACTGTTTGGATAATAATATAAAGAAACATAAAAAGGAACTTGAAGAAAAAGCAATGAAACTCATTGGTGGAAAAATTCTGCTGCCATTGTATCAGGATGTTAATATCCATATTTCATTGTTTAAATATTAAGTTTAACATTTTAAGTATCAATAAAATTGTGTATTTTGTATGTTTATTAAAAGTGAAAAAAAAAATCAATAATTTCAATAAATTGATTAATTTTCTTCTTGTAATTTCATTAGATTCCACATTCTGCACAAACAACTTAAAATTGATTTTATTTATGTACTGTACTAATGTCATAAAATGCTATTAAAGTTTTTATAATGCGAAGCAGATGATTCATAGTTAAATCTGCAAAAGGATAAAATAAAAGGACAAATCAAACAAAGATTTAATTTATTACTTTATTTATTGATATTTGAAGTAGAGTTACGGCATGAAACAAAACCATTATCCTAGCAGATAAAAACATTGTAATTTCGTCTATTGTAAAACATTTAAACACCAATCAAAAATATACAATGCAATATTTTGGTTAATAAAATAAACAGTACATGATGTATGTAGATTTGTTACCTACATGTAAGGTAGGTAGACCTAACTCTTGAAATACAGAACTCCCGTAAAGTCCTTAAACTAAAAATAAAATACAGGAACTAACTGCTTGATGTCAAATACTGAGACCTAATATTAAAAAAACTTACGCTACGACCATTCTTTAAAACTCTCGAACTTCGCGCGTCGCCCCGATTGTGAGTCGTCCCAAGTGCGAGTCAAGCCGGCTCTAGTACCGTTTGGGCCGTTCCGAGGGAGAGTCGAGTCGGCCCTAGCGCCGGTCGAGTCGTTCTGAGTGGAAGTCAAGTCGGCCCTAGTGCCGGGCGAGTCGCTCTGAGTAGAAGTCGAGACGGCCCTAGTGCCGGTCGAGTCGGGGCGAGGCGCGCCTACGCGACTATCCCTGTCATCTCTCGTGCAATAATAATTATCCACTAATCACAATATAGAATATAGCCTAGAGACTAAACACTACATATCTTGGACTAACTCTTGCATAGTTTTTGGACAGATCGATGTCACAAAAATAATTTTACACATCATGTGACAAAAAAATATTTTAATATATTAAATATAATAAATATATATCAGAATAAGGTTTAAATCTAACGTCAGACGGGCGCGGG